CTTTTATCCCCAGAATATATTCAAACGAAACATAATTTACAAAACAATATTAATTAAAAATAAAAAATAAAAACATAAACTCAAACAACAATTCATATAGCTTCTTATTTTACTTTCCCACATACCTTCAGAAAACTAGCTTTTATCTGTTTCTTAAATATATACATAGATCTGGCATTTTTAAGATCATCCTCCAGACCGTTCCACAATCCTATACCCTGGATTAAACTATACCCTGGATTAAACTATACCCTGAATTAAAGTACATATTTCTCTCAAGCAAGTATGAAAATACGGCTTCACAAACATTTCCATCCCCTTAAAATAATAACAACTGTCTCCTTTTACAAAGTTTACCTGAATGTTGGAAGGTAATCTGTTTTTATGAGCCTTGTACATAAACAGTAAAATATTATAGTCAACCAAATCATGGAATTTCAAAATGTTCAGTTTACAAAATAATGTATTTGATGGATGGTTGTAATCTTTGATGGATCAGTCAGCAGCAGCATCTGATCAATATGTGATCCATGACGTGATGTAAATGTAACATTTAAAATTAATCAGTGCATTAAAATAACTTTGTTTTTGTCACTTTTACGGTGGATTGCATCAACYCTGTTACATACAGAATTCAGATTCAATCGGAGCAATTCAAATTCAATTCCTGCTGGCACAAGATTTATCCCACAGAGAAATTTCACCAAAGTGAAACGTAAATCTGTGGATCTGTGTTTGATTACTCTGGCTGGCTTTCTCAAGGACCAGGATGTGGGACACAAATATCTGAATTTTGGAACTGAAAGTGAAAGTAGTCAAACTGAATTTTTAATAAATCAAAATATAGTTTTATCGCAAATTCATTCAGATACAAACCATTAAATTCAGTTTCAATTTAGTAACATTCATTTTCAAACCAATGCATTCAATTTCAAATTATGCACATTCAGATTCAGTCTGAGCAATTCAAATTTAATTCCTGCKGGCACAAGATTTATCCCACAGTTATCTTTTGTCTTCTTCTGAATGGTTGTTCTGTACTGTAATTTCWTTGTGCTCTGTTCAATGACAATAAAGATCTAATCTAAAGGCCTACTATAAATTTTTGTTCTTTACTGTAAAAGACTGTTTTTTATTTACCTAATTTCTCACACAGTAAAGGATTTTATTTTTATTTCCATGTATTCTTTGTTGGAATACAGTTTTTATTTATTGTTTTTGAGATGGTGATGATGAAGACTGAAAGGTTCCCAGTTTATTCAAACAGGTCAAAGCAATCAGTAAAAACTGTATTTCATTTGTCAGACCGTCTGGAAAAAATGTAATCAATAAAATTTGCATCAAACCATATCTGGTTCTGGATGCATTTTTGCTAGAGGGTAAATTTGACTACAAACAGCACTGGCATGTAAGCTACGTACAGTCACAGGCTACAATGACAAGCAATGGTGCACTGATTCACACATGAGGGCTGTATTTTGTATTTTGTTGCCCATTGTGTAAAGATTGTTTGGAGGTGCTCATACATTGTGTCAAAGTTGAGTTGTTTGAAGGCAAAGTTTGCTTTTGTTCCATATTTTAAATGTTATGACACAGTTAGTGCCTTTTGCAAACAAAATGTGTCATTTTGACCACTGTGTCACCGTTTAGACCTCTTTGTTAACTGTTTTGAAGAAGTGGTTTTTGAGTTGACGGCTGCGTCAAACCAGTCGATGAAACCTGTAAAAGAGGGTCGTTCAGACAGACTACTCTGTAACTTGTTTTTAAATTTATAAGTTTCCTCTGCTGAACTCCTGAAAAGCGGGCGATAGTGTTTTTACCCGAGTCTGTTAGCAAAATATCTCATGATACAGCTGAATGGATTTAATAAAACTTACAACAAATAGTGACTGGATGTATTTCTTCAAATGATCAAGTTTTGAAGTCAACTCCWGGAAAACAGCTGCTACTGCCATCACCAACCAGTAAACTCAAAATGTTTAATATTCCATGATATTAACAGAAACAGAACATGGGTGTGTTTGTTGCTGAAAGTGATTCACAACAAGGATGAGCAACTGCATGCCAATGAGCCCCCCACCCCTGTAATTTATTTATTTGTGTTTAAAAAAGTTAAAATAAAAAAATTGCATCAATACATTTTTGACAGAATTTCAAGTCAACCCTGTGTTTAGTCTGCTTAGAGACACTGACATGAAGGGTTTTAAGTCACTACACAACGCTGCACAAAACTCAATATGAGAAGTTTACTGAAGTACATAAACAACTGAGACTTTTTCCTAGAATCAGAACCACACAGGAGTCTGACCTCAAGGCTTCTCAAACCGGTACATTTCAAGTGAGTAGGTGTGCAGTGCTCGGGCCCTCTGGTAGTGCCACAAAAAACTGTGGCCATCATTGAAGCTGTTTAGGTACACACTGCACACAACCTTCACTAAAACTTTAGCTTTAACTTTTGCAGTCACCTTTGTATGCTCTGTATGCTGTATGCAAAACATTTAATAAACTACTGAAAAGGCTTGAATCCATCTATGGTTTTGTCAATTTTGATTTGTAGCTACTACTCTTTTTTTAGCTACTGTTCATTTTAGCATGTGTTCTGACTGATTTAGCTCTTGTTTTGATAAATTTATCTACAGTTCTGCTCATTTTAGCTACTGTTCTGCTCATTATATTTATATTTATATCAAAGAATTGGGCATCTGGTCTGAATGTTTTTTTTTTAGGTTTCATTTTTTTTCATCTTAATTTCTCTTGTTTGTTTTAACTTTAACAGTTCAGTTCAGCCATTCAGTCCTCAGTATTTACACTGCATTTTCACAAAACGTGTTGTTTCTTTTCCAGTTGTTATTTGTGTTTATGTCTGTTTATTTGTTACACATTCATTTTTACAAATGTTCTGCTAAATTTGACTTGGTTGTTGTTGAGCATTGTCCCAAACACTCATGTGAACTTTAACTCATCTTGCAAGATCTCATCAGTTTGGGCAGAACCTCATTTTCATGGTTTGACCAAAAATATTCTAACTTGGTCCCTCAGCTTCATCACATGAATCTTAATCCTGAGGCTGCTGATGAAGCAGCTGAAACAACAACAACAACAACAACAACATGGTTAAAGGGGCAATAGTATGTTTCTCAGGCATTTATTTAAATTCTATACCATAATAAAGTAACTATATCCCCTCCAGTTGTCATTAAAATGTTGTTTATGTGTTTAAATAGAAAATAAACTTGACTTCTCATCATATCTGTTTCTAAACACCTTGAAATTGGTCTCTGTCTCTTTAAGAACCTCCTGGTCCCAAAACGAGGTTCTAGTCCCCACAGGTGGGTTTTGCTCCCCTGCCTGCTGCCTCAGGACACTACAGGATTTCTCAAACATGCACGAATGAGTCAAAGTAAGACTCTGGGCATGTTTTTGATGAGAGGATAACATTATAACATGATATAAAAGTCAAAAAAGTTGATTTTACATGATATTGCCCCTTTAAACTTCAGTCTGAAATATTTCTTGTCTCATAAAGAACACACAACATCAGATTTTATAATAATATATGTTTTATTCTTCTCTGTTTTTATTTCTGTTATTTTAGTTTATTTTTATATTTGCAAATATCTTACAGGTTCTTTTTGAAGGAACCTATCACCATGGCTTACACACACACACACACACACACACACACACAC